GGAGATACAAGAAAATATTTTTTAAAATTAAACCAGGTGGATTTTACCAACACTTAATTAAGGATTTACAGACATTTACACTGATTTCCTCTTTTGTTTTGTATGTTTATGAAAGATTAAAGAAACCAGTATTATTATTGGTTTTTATTGATGCTTTCTGAGCAATGGACTCCCAGTTCTTTTGCTAGTGTTCTATGTCTTTTCAAAGTTTGTGGAACTAATATGATCATAGAATCATAGAATTATTTAGGTTGAGATCATCGAGTCCAACCATCTACCCTACTCTACAGTAGGGTAGTAAGTTCTCCCCTACACCATATCCCCCAACACCACATCTAAATGACTCTTAAACTCATCCAAGGATGGTGACTCAACCACTTCCCTGGGCAGCCTATTCCAATGCTTGACTACTCTTTCTGTGGAAAACTCTTTCTTAATGTTCAGTTTAAACCTACCCTGTTGAAGCTTGAAGCCGTTCCCTCTTGTTCTATCACTAAATACCTGTGAGAAGAGACCAGCACCAGCCTCTCTACAATGTCCTTCAAGTAGTTGTAGAGAGTGATGAGGTCACCCCTCAGTCTCCTCTTCCTCAAACTAAACAGTCCCAGCTCCTTCAATAGCTCTTCATACGATTTGTTCTCCAGGCCCTTCACCAGCTTTGTTGTCCTCCTCTGCACTCGCTCCAGCACCTCGATATCTCTCTTGTATTGAGGTGCCCAGAACTGGACACAACACTCCAAGTGTGGCCTCACCAGTGCTGAGTACAGAGGGACAATCCCCTCCCTACTTCTGCTGGCCATACTATTTCTAATACAAGCCAGGATGCCTTTGACTTTCTTGGCCACCTGGGCACACTGCTGGCTCATATTCAGCCGCTTGTCAATTAGAACCCCCAGGTCCTTTTCTGCCAGGCAGCTTTCCAGCCACACTTCCCCAAGCCTGTACCAATGCATGGGGTTGTTGTGGCCCAAGTGCAGGACCTGGCACTTGGCCTTGTTGAAGCTCATACCATTAATGTTGGCCCATTGATCCAGTCTAAGTCTCTCTGTAGAGCCTCCCTATCCTCATGCAGATCAACACTCCTACTTAACTTGGTGTCATCTGCAAACTTACTGATGATATGCTCTATGTCCTTATCAAGATCATCAATGAAGATGTTAAACAGAAATGGTCGCAACACTGAGCCCTGGGGAACACCACTTGTGATTGGCGGCCAGCCGTTGAGCACCACTCTTTGGGACCGTCTAGACAGCCAGTGCTTGATCCCGCAGATCAAGCTTGATCCAGCAGATCAGATGATTCTAAAATGCTTTCCAAATTTGTATCTCTAATTCTCAGAACTTATTTTAAAACTAAACAGTCAAAATCAGACATATATTTATAATATATTTTGGGTTGTTTTTTTTCTCCTTGGTTTTTCATTTCTTATTCTACATCATTACTTGCAGAACAATAGGATCCTGGTAGATATCGCTACTCAGAGGTTAACTGCAATATAAAGGCACTTTTATACGTTGCCACTTTTTGATTGCTTTACCAAATTTAGTATAAAATACTTAAAAGTTGTGGGAAGTATGCTGTTTTAAAACAAAATTCAAATAGTCCTATTTGGCCTTAATTTTAGGTTATAAAACATGCATTAATTATTATGCAGTAATATATATTTGTAATATAATCTACCACGGTAATTTTAGGTTTTCCTCCAGTGGTTCATTGCAGAAAATGTTTGAGGTGTGGACACCTTTAACGAAAAGTCCTCTGTTTTCCTTTTAGAGGGAGTTCATTGTCTTCTAGCATCTCTGCAGCAAATAAAGTCATAGAAAAGAGTGTTATTTTTTGATTACACATTTTTATCAACAAATGTTTCAGAACTGTTACTATGAGGAAAAAAGGGTAATTCTGATGTCTCTCTAAACTAACACATTACATTAATTTCTTACTATATGAAAAGCTGCAGAAAACTGGTTTCTCTGCTTCTCCCTATTTTTTATTTAATTTATTTATTTTCATGTAGTCCGTTACAGTGTCTCACCAAGTTCTAAAATTGAATTTAGGCCTTCAATCTTCCTTGCATGCCTAACCCCATTTTTAACTAGATCACAGGATCTGAAGTTAGGTTAGATCTAAGTTAGAATCCACAGATTCTCTAGGAAGCCTCATATACACACCTGAGGGCTTAAGGAATCTTAATCACAGCCTCCGTGAAAGCAACATTTCTGAACAAATAGTATTAGATCTTTGCCAAAAATCTTAAGATTTCTGGCTTCTGGATTTTTGTGGTGGGTTTTTTTTTTTTCTTTGTTTTTCTTTGTGTTGTTGTTTGGTTTTTTTTATTTGTTTTCTTCTTTCATGAATGACATGCAAACATGTCTTGTGGAAAAGCAGGTAAAAATCACACATATAATAAGCAGATACAAATCACACATACAATGTTTCCACTGAGAAAGAGGTTTGATCAGTTGATGGTGTCCATATTTTATGGAAAATTCTTGGAATTCTAGGATAGGATTTACAGAGCAAGTTTTCTTACAAAAGCCATTATGTGGCAGTGATGAGAAAGAGCTTTCATCTTTGGTACTTGGTAGAGTAAAGGAGGATGTATAGCTTTTGCCAACAAAACAGCATAGATATATTACCACGTTTTACTATACATAATTATCTGTAGCATCAGATACACCATTTTGCAATATAATCCCTTTTCTTGTTCTTCAAAGACTCTGATTGAAAAAAAAGCATAGTTGGCTGTCATGAGAAGCCAAATTCAGTTCTGTTGTTATAATCCTGAGTTGAGATTAAGCAATTAACTAGTTGAATCACTAGACTGTATCTGCAAACTTGCCCCGTAGAGAAAATGTGAGTATAAATTAGTGTTGGTGTGAATCCAAATTTTATCTGCAAATGTTCTCACATATTATATTTTCCCATGCTTTTCTTCTATTTGATGAATCTGTGTTTTTCTTCAAGTCTCTAGACATAGAGACCATAGAGACCAGAAACTTTGGATTCTGTGTGATGAAATCTAGGAATTCATTAATACTACCCAATATATAGTGTTTCCCATTGGAATTATTTTATACCCAAAGCTGGGAAAGAAATTGCTGTTGAAATGAAAAGCAATATAACAACAATGGAACAGTCTGACTTCAGCAGATAATAGTACAAATGAAAGTGTGGAAAAAAAAAGGACTTTTAGGATAGTGTAGAAGAAAATAGTGAATCTCACAAATAAAACATACATGCCCTGGTGCTTAATGCAATTTTTACATTCTTTGCAAATCCTTGTCAGGGAAATTAATGATAGTGAAAACTACCCTTTGTTTTTCCAACTGCATGAATTTTTGTAAACTTGTGTGATCACTGATACTATGCTAAAGCTTCTAAATTATGTATATGGTCTCCTAAAGTAATTATGCCATAAATTTAACTTCAGGACTGTGTTACTAAATCCTTTCATTAATGAACAGAAGTAACAGTGAGTATGTACTCCTCTTTCTCATAATATTACTGGATAAAGAAAAAAAAAAATCGAGGATATTTACATTGTATTTTAGGCTTACTGAGTAAGTGTGCAGTACTACCTGGTGGCAGAAATGTTTAGCAGTGGGAAAGTTCAAATTCTTTGTGTCAAGAAGTTAATAAATAGCTAAACTACTTGCGTAACTTGAGTAACTTGAGTAACAAAACAATTTGTCCTTGTCGGCTAGAAGTGGTTAAGTTAAGAAAAATTGTCTTCTAAAGATATAACTGATCCATGACTCTAATTTGTGAACTGTACAGCGTTTAGCATGTTGTAGGACTGTGTATCAAGAGCAGTGAGATATGACCAATGTCAGTGTTAGCTTGTGCATTATATAGGTAATATGTCCACGCAGAGTAAAGAACTACAAGATATGTATAGCCAAAAACCCATATCTATATATTCATTTTGGGGGTGTTATTTTAACCAACTTATAAATGTGTTATGTTTCTGAAACATAGTTCTTTCGTAAGTGATTTAAGAAATACTGTTTCAGCCAGTAGAAGTAGATAGAAACCGTATGTGGGATTCAATCAATTTAGAGATTCAATAAAGAATCATTTTGTTTAAGTAGACAAAAAAAATTACCTGTGTAGAGGATCGTGTTAAATATCCTATGCATTAGGCAAGTATGTGACAAGATATATAATAAACTTGAGCAATGGGAATGCACTTAACAATTGCTTACTTTCATTCAAAAAAGTATAAAAAAAAATAAAGGGCACATTAGAGCAATTATATTTAGTGGAAAGCTACTGTAGTGAGACTAAATCTTTAAGGATTTTAAATGGTTCAGAAATATTTCAAGAGAAAACAAAAACGTGTTCCATAGGAAATACCCACTTTCAAGCCACTGTAGACTTACACTGAGTGCAGTTTCTGACTGATTTTGCAATGGAAACTAGTAATCTTCTCCTTCAGTGCTTTGCTTGGATTACATGGAATGGGATTTCCACAGAGTTTCCTGGATCCACTTCACTCTACAACAGCCAGACTCTCCTGTGATGTATTTTCCCAGGTCTTGTCTTCACTGTGGGAGGTGAATAAAACAATAGATGTGTGTGCAACAAATACTTAACCCACTCAGCAATGCCCATGCGTCGTCGTAACTATTGCCTGCTAGATGTCATGGTGCATAAATCACCTAATTGCATAGTGAAATCATCATGTCTGTAAAAGAAACAATTTACAGAAGTCTTTTATGAGTTCTGGATTTTGTCCAACCTTGTCTGTACTTTTCTAGCTTTTTGAGTGACTTATGTAGCTTACCAGGGAAAAAAAACATTAAATGAATGCAGTTAAACAGGAGCATGGGAAAAAATACATGAAACAGAGAGCAAGCAAAGGTCTGATTCTGTCATATTCCAAAGAAAATACATAAAGAATTGCAGGTTTATTTAAAAATGCATTTTAGTACAAATTATTCTAATTAACTTTATTCTCTACTTTCAAACTAACGGAATTGTTTTCCTTTCTCTTGCAGAATAATGATATAATCTATTACAATGCAAAAGATGATCAGAATGACGTAAGTAAAATATTTCTTTTTGTTTCATTGCCTGTAATCTCAGAAAATTAAGGGATTTAAAACAATAATGAAACTTTAAGACTAGCATTTAAATATTTTGCAGAAGCAAAAAACCAAGAAACTTGGAAATGTTCAAAAGTTTCCTCAAGAGTGAGATAATATTTTATGTTCTAATTCTCAAAGTCTGTCTTCCCTTACACAGTCTGAGTTACTGATCAGGCTGGCAATATGCTGGGAGAAAAAAGATCCTGACAGCAGTATCATTCACTTTTTGAAATGTAATAAAATCTTAATCATAGGACTGGAGAATCAAAATGATAAATGTAAATAATTTACTTTACTCTGAAGGAACCATTTTCTGGCCCTATTTTCCAAGCTCATATTATCTTATTCTGTATTCTTTGTGAGAAATTTTTTACATGAGGGGAAAACGGATGTAAAATGTAACTGAATAACTACTTTCATGCACTTTGTGATCACTCATACCACTGTAATAAGCTTTGGGGAAATGGAAAATCCAGTCCCAAGTTTTAGAAAAAATGTATGATGTTTCAATTCCTGGTTTTACTAAAACTCTTACTTTAAATGGTTTGAAGTTTCCTATTGGGCTTTAACTATTAAAAATCTTAATGTCTTCTGGGGACAAGACAAGTTATCCTCACCTTCACTTGAGATAATACAACTGCTTGTCTTCATTATAGATTTAATTTATAAAACCATAGAAAAAATGTTGTAAATGTATTAATCAGAATTGCCAGCATGCTTCATTTGCACTTTTTAATCAAGTATTCTTTAGAGATTGATGGCATCACTATTGTAATTGATGCTTCTGCTGTAAGGCAATTAAGGAAGGTACATAGATCACGTCAAGCAGAACTATTTGATATGCTTATCTGGAGTTACGAGTACCGGAATTCAGATATAACAAACAAGGCTACTGTCCTGGGTTTTAAAATTTGTGTGTTTTAAGTAAAACCCATTAAAACTAACCAAAATTTGAAAGACATTAGTCTCTTCTGATTTAAGTCACTAGGGCTGAAGGTGCTAGTCACTTCAAACAGGAGCACAAAGCTTAAACATTGGATTTTGAATCTAAATATACCATACAGTGATGGTAGATTATAGTGTGAAGTAAAAGAGTCTGCCTTATCTGTTATGATTACATCGTACTGGAAAATGTCTTGAGGTGACTACTACAACACAAATCCAAATTGTGTAGGCAAGGCATGAAAGGAAATACTGTTCCAGAGTTTACTGTTATTTTCATTGACTTTCCTCAGGATTTCTTTATGTCCAGAAAAAAAAGAGTTTGTTCCACCAGATGTCTTTTTAAATTTCTGGGACAGTTTTATTTCTGCCTTTTTAAACTCTTGGAATGAAGTTTGTAGTAACCTTTATTATTGAGGTAAGAATAGTTCCTGTGAGTCAGGGCCTATCTGTCAAGAAACAAGTAACACTATAACATGGCATCAACAGCACAAAGTACACTACCAAAACTCAATACCAGCTGAAGTTATTATTTTGAAATTATTTGAATCACAATGAAAAGTTTTAAATCCTAGGACTGGAGACTTCTCTAACTTTTCTGTCTTTTATAGCACGAAAAGTTTATTTTTTTTTTTAGCATACAAGCTAGAGTTATTTCAGACTCTTTAATTTTAATTATTGTCTGTGCAAACCTGATTGATTTAATTTCTCACTTTTTTATTGAGAAAAGTTCAGCCAGGTTGCACAGCTCAATAGCAGTTACCAATGTCTAGTACAATTCTTTAGATCCTTGGTTTAAGCAGCACATTCCATGTGAATTATTAAACTATACATAAGAGCAGAAGGAGCAGGATTTGAAGTGGATATCACTGTAACTTATGCATGGCGTGAACTACAATGTTTTGGAGATCTGTACTATATGAACTTTGTAAAATATTAAAATATAGCTTTAAGATTGTGGTTCTGTTTGAGTTGCCAGCATGTTTATAGGGCTATAAGTATTGAAGTAGTTATTTTTCTTTCCTTCATAACAGTCCTCAAATCAAAAGGTTAAAGAGGGAGAAGGGAAAAAAAATTCTTTGTTTTATTTTGCTTCTAATTTCTTTATTTATTTCTAAGTTTATGAAACAATATGAAAGGAAAAGATACTAAGAAAGTTCAGTATTTACAAGCTCTGGTTGTTTGAGAGTGTGTGCCTTCTGTCAGTCATTTAAGTTTTTGTCGCTAGCTGATCAGAACAAATGTTTTGATTTCAGGAGATACAATTAAAAAATTCCCCAGGAGTTCTAAATAAACCATTAAAAGAGCAGCAGTCTCAGATACCTCAGCTACTGATACCTTGTTGGTTCAGCATATCTGCTAACGGCTGTATTTCTTCATCCTAGAGAGACATACTCCAAAGAAGAGAAATGAATCTGGTGAGGGGTCTAGAGCACAAGTCTTATGAGGAGCAGCTGAGGGAACTGGGGTTGTTTAGTCTGGACAAAAGGAGGCTGAGGGGAGAGCTTCTTGCTCTCTCCAATTACCTGAAAGAAGGTTGTAGTGAGGTGTGGGTTGGTCTCTTGTCCCAAGTAAAAGCCATAGAACAAGAGGAAATGGCCTCAAGCTATGCCAGGGGAGCTTTAGAGGGCCCTGAAGATGATGAGAGGGCTGGAGCACTTCTGTGGAGACAAGCTGAGAGAGTTGGGGTTCTTCAGCCTGGAGAAGAGAAGGCTCTGGGGAGACCTTATAGTGTCCTTTCAGGACCTGAAGGGGGCCTACAGGAGAGATGGGGAGGGACATTATGAGGGAGTGTAGTGATTGGATGAGGGGTAACAGTTTTGAACTGGAAGAGGGGAGATTTAGATTAGATATTAGGAAGAAATTCTTTACTCTATTCCTTACTCTAAGAGTGGTGAGACACTGTCAAACATTGCCCAGAGAAGTTGTGAAGGCCCCATCCCTGGAAGTGTTCAAAGCCAGGCTGAATGGTGCTTTGAGCAACCTGATTTAGTGGAAAGTGTCCTTGCCCATGGCAGGGGGGTTGGAACTTGATGATATTTAAGGTCCCTTTCAACCCAAACCATTTTATGATATTATAAAAAAATTCTTCACTGAAAGGGTTGTCAAGCATTGGAACAGGCTGCCCAGGGAAATATTTGAGTCGCTATCCCTGGAAGTATTTAATGGGTATGCAGATGTGGCACTTAGGGACATGATTTAGTGTAACATGCCAGTGTTAAGTTAGGAGTTCAAGTCTATGATCTTAAGGGTCTTTTTTGACCTAAATGATTCTATGGTTCTGAAATTCTTGCTATTTAGAAAAGGTGAATATTTCATAATGATGCTAAACATTATCCTTCTTCAGCTGCAATATTAGTATTTACTCTTATTAAATGCAATAAATCTCATTTATATTATAGAAAAAAAAAAATTCAGAGTTGCAAATTATACATGCAGATTTGGATCCCTTTAAAAGGCCCAGTATTTCAGGAACCAGTAACATGCATCTCCTAAAGAACTCTCATGTGTCTTGAGTTTTTCACTGTTAAAATTTTTATGCAAATATTTGTTAAAAAATTCAAAATGTAGCAATTCTTTTCTTTCATCAGTAAAGTTGAGACTGATTAGATAAATGCAGATTAGGAAGCCAAGAAAAATTTGTATTCTAATTGTAGCACTTTGTTGGGGCTATGTTGTGGATATGCTTACTGATGATTTCCATCTTGTTAAGGTGGTAAGAATCAGTTAAATATGTTTTGATAAAACACATTGAGTGTTTTTGGGCCTGTGCTGTCATTGTGATCAGTAATATAACTTGAAAGAAGCAGCAATAAGGATAAGATGGTGAGTGACATAATATTATATGATTTTTTGAGAAAACTTGCATTCAGGTCTCAACTATGTATGTAAACACCACAGACTCCTCTGCCTTGCTCCTGCCTGAAAAAATGCTTGAGAGGACTTAGGTGGCATCATTTTTTATATAGTGAGATTTTAACAGAATCATCTCTGAAGCACTGGCCAGTAAAACTGCTTTTGTCATCCATTCTTTGCTGTCTCTAACAAGTTTGTATTTTTTTCTCTTCCATGCTATGAGCCTTCATTTTATCACAGGGCATGATATTAAATTTCTCTTTCAGTACATGTAGGAATAATTACTAGACAAAATTTATTTATTAAAATTAGATATCTAAGCTAGTAACAGTGGAAACCACTAGAGAGTCGTTCCGTTTATTTTGAGATAGGTGACTAAAGTCAGCTGAATCACTTCTGGCTGCGTGCTTCTCTCTGTTGACCAGCTTCCTATAATGGACACTTTTAGATCTTAACTTTTAGATGTTGCTGAATTAGAAGAGATTAATCTCACATGTCCTGCCTGCCAGTCTTTATTTTTCTCCACTCATCCTTTTAAAATTATACCTTTAGCAGAAGAACAGTCATCAAACTTAAATTCTGTGTATTTTTTCTGGTGTATGTTAATACACTGCACTATAGTTTGCTTTCAGTCTTCCTGTTTATGTACTGCATTCAGGAGATCCTTCTCTCTCATTTTTCATTTGCTGTCCTGATGGGCCTTTCTGAATCTAATGGCTGTGTTTGCTTG